TCTGTCTCCGTCCCTCGCGCTCGCCTCTCACGATTTTTTCCCAGCTGCGCAGAATTGGAAAATATTCGCTACGGTATTTCGACACGGGCTTCCCCCTCGCAGCATAGTTATGGCTGCGCGTTTTAATTGATATTACATATCGCGCGCGTTGAAATTTACCGGCGATAACTGCCCGTTTATCCGACATATGTACGTCCGACTGCATACCGTCCGACGTGCGCGCGCCACGCGCCGAAATTGCGTAACTAAAAGGAGAAAAACGGGAGCGGAAAAAAGGGCAGCGGCTTGTCGCCGGCACGCGCGCGCGCGCGCGTATCCGCTCCGGATTTTTAAGGAACCGAGCCGAGTCGAGGCCGATCAATCCGGCGACGTCCGTATTCGCGTTTCGCGCAAGACATCGCGCGACATTCGTCTCAGGCGAGAAAAGAAACGCTAATGCGACTTTCGCATCCTGAATACGTCGATGTGGTGGTATCCTTCGATATCGATATTCTACGAATAATACTCGCGATTAATGTGCTGATGCTGGACCGTCGGCTACGCTTCCATCGTTTCCGCGGGATGCGTGCGTCATCCGAAAATTTGAGGGGCAGGACGAGAATCCTAGTAGCGTTGCCGATTTCTAATTTCCTCCTCTTTCGATCTTCCTAACGTCCGCGCGTTCCGTCGCGCAACAAAGCGTCGCAACGCTTTCAAGTGACGGTGTCGTACCTGAAGAACGGGCGTCTTTCTCGCGCTTGAAATTTCATAAATTGTACGCGTCTTTTTCCAAGCGACGCCTCTCGGAGAGGAAGCTCTTCGAGGAAGCTGAACGTACGTATCAACGTGGGCGCGCGTGCTTTTGTATCCTTTGTGTTCTCGCTTCGTTCTATTTTTACCCACTCGCATTGTTTAATTCGCATTAAATTTTCGCCGGCACGGTAAGCGCAACCGCGCGAGGTCGCCCGAGCGACTTCGATGAAGGAGACAAACCGCCCGTCCGGAGAGAGTGCAATTTTCTCTCACTGTGCGTCGCGTCGTCTCCGTCGAGACGAAGTTGCCGTCTTGAGAACGCGCCAGGCGAATAGACGAGGGCGGAGGTTAAACACTCGTTCGAGGTGGAGCTCTCTCGGCGCAGCCGAGAGTCCGCGTCGCGGCCCTTCCCCGTTGCGTCATGCCGGATGCAAAGAGGATTTCGGGACACCTATAGACCTGGCCGGGCTAACGCCGGATTTGGCAGGACCCGCCGACGCCCTTATCCGGGCGCGGCCGTAAAAGCGGCGGCCAACCTCGCCGCCGTCGCAAGCCCCGAAAACTCTGCGGACACACAATTAGCCGGTCGCGCTGCTACAGCCGCGGCCAATTCTCAAGGACTCTCCCGTGGAGCATTAAATGCAAGCCCCCCTCCCCCTTTCCGCGGTAGTCTGAAAGAAACGGGGATAAAGACCATAGGGGCAGGAGGCGGGAGAAAAGGAACCGAAGGGACGGAGCGAGGCATGAAGGAGGAGGAGGAGGAGGAGAGGAGAACGAGGAAACGGGAAGGTTTCAGCCATCCCAAATGGGACTTGGCGCAAACTTTCTGGCAGGGATTCGTTCGCGTCTTTTGCACATGCGAATGCACCTGCAGCTGTGACCGAGTCGACAGTCGCGGCCGGGCTGAAAGAGGAGGAGGGAGGACGTGGGTGCCGTACGGCGGGTCGGGAAAAGAGCGTCGGGAAAAGTAACGAGGACCGCGGGGTGGGTCGCCGTATAATTACCGTTAATTGAATTCTTAGAGCCGCCCCCTCCCCCCCCCTCGCTCTCTCTCTCTCTCTCTCTCTCTCTCTCTCTCTCTCTCTCTCTCTTTGTCCCTCTCGCTGCCCCGACCGATCTCCCCAGCTAGATGTGCGGCGAAGACCCGAGGGAGTTTTCAGGTTATTAAAGGGAGTACGTATAGAGAGAGAGAGAGAGAGAGAGAGAGAGAGAGAGAGAGAGAGAGAGAGAGAGAGCGACGTTTCGATATCGCGTATACTGCCCCCTTGGAGGAGGATACTTCCGCCGTTGAGCCGTCGTTTGATCTCTCGAGATTCTTCGCCGTGACTGCCGAGCTGCACGTCGAGGCGATAAGCAACGAAAATCTGTCGTTAACTCCGCAGCGTCGTTAATTCGAAGAGGCGAGCGCTAATTGGATCGGGAAGATGATCGCGTGCGCGCGCGCGCGGGCGAGGACGTTTCGCCGGGTGTGCCTCTCCTCGCGAGCGGGATTCGTTCCTCCTCGCTGCGCCGCGTCTGATTTGCATACGCGCGTGTAAACTACGCGTTCGGTTGCGTGCGGCGCTGGGTTGGGTCGCCGGCCGGCATTGTTCGCACTTAAGTAATGGTTATTCATCGCGCGAGCGATTCGCGACGAGAAGGAGAGAGGGGAGAGAGAGAGAGAGAGAGAGAGAGAAAAAAAGCGCGCTCGCGCGTTTGTCCGCCGCGCGTGTGTGTGTGTGTGTGTGTGTGTGCGTGCGTGCGTGCGTGCGTGCGTGCGTGCGTGCGTGCGTGCACGTGTTATTCGCGAATCGTATGATCATGTTTATCGGTCGTCCTTCTAATAATCGAAAACTGCAGCCACTGAATCGCCGAATCGCGCCGGTAATCCCCGGGCTGGTTGCGCGAATGGGACTCGTGACGGATACGCTGTGATCGGCTGCAGTTGCGCAGCGCGATTACGATTAGCGTGCGCTAAAATCAGATTTGTCTGCTTGAGACTTTAGGATTTCGGCGAGAAATTTGATAATTTGCTCGTCGACAGTTATTAACAGCGCACGTTCATCATTATCAGCTTCTCGTATTAATCGTCGGCCTCGCCCCTCGGGGTGCTTTTCGAAAATCCTACACGAATGCAACCGAAATTGAAGGGACGAGAGAGAGAGAGAGAGAGAGAGAGAGGGGGCGGGGCAGGGGATGCAATGGCACTCGCGGAGATATAATATGCGGATGCTATATTTTTATTCTTCACGATGAGACTCGGCACTCTCGAAGAGCCGATATTTAAGTCCATAAGTCATTTCGTCGGATGCGCCTTCGCGATCGTTACGAATTGCAGCCGCGCGAAGCGCACGTGAAGCACCGGAAATTTCACGGAGCTCTGCCGCCCGCTTTCCTCCTCCTCCTCCTCCTCCTCGCCCGTGCGCTGATGATTCATTGTAATTGGGCGATTCGGCGTGTGCGCAAAGGAGCTGCCGGCGCGACTCTGTGCGACGCTCTTAGAAATTCGATATTAAAATATCCACAATTCATTTCGTCGAATGCTCTTCCTCGCGGACGGTATTGCACTTTGCATGGCCGGCGTGTAGGGGGCTTGGCCGGCGGCGGGAGGGGGGACGGGCGGACGGACGGCGCGGGCTGGTGAGGGTGGCGGGGAGGGAGAGGAGGAGGTAAAATCATCGAAATCCAGCACGAGCTCTTGTCAATAGAGAATGTAAAATATTGCGCTCCCCCTTCGCGGGGCGGCCCGCCGGTGGTGCGAGGAGGGACAGGGTGGACCGTGGGGGGGAATTAATATTGTTCGCGGGTCATTGCACCGAGGTAACAAAAGCCCGCCGCCCACGCGGCCGCATGAAAATGCCGTTTGCTGCGAATGATTTTCGAGTGTGCCGCTCGCGATATATCGGTACGCCGCGCGTACGTGTGCGACACCCCGCGTCCTCGACGCGAGATGACTCTCGGCGAACTTTTGCGCTCGTCGAAGCCTTACTTGGCTAGAGTGCGGCGGACGCGCGCGTGAGCTGCGACCTGCGAGCTGCTGCGAGCGAGCGCAAGCGCGCGTCCGCCGTGCAATTCCATCGAGAGTCAGTTTAACGTTACGACGCCAGCGGCAGCTTGTCGGCTCTCTCTCTCTCTCTCTCTCTCTCTCTCTCTCTCTCTCTCTCTCCCCCTCCCTTTCTCTGCGTCGCGTCGCGTCGTGCATTTCGTTTCACGAATGTCAGAGGTAACGTTCCTGGAAGAGTCTCAGTCTCGCCTCCCTCGCAGAAACGAGACGAGACGCGACTCGATGCGACGCGACGGCGACCATGGAAATAAGGTCGGAGTTGGAAGCCAGAGCGGGATGGTCCTTTGAGGGAACGCAGCGGCTGCGGCGAGGAGGGAGGCGAAGCGATGAGGCGAGACGGGGTGGCGGCGGTGTAGCGCGAGAGCGAGAAAAATAAGAGCGTCGCGAGACGACGCCGCCGTGAAGAGTGCCACTCTCGCCGTTTGATCGCACGCGCGCGCATCGTTTGTACGACTGCGCTAATTAAAATGTGAGAGGGAAAGGGGCGAGACACGAAGAAGGGTGAATCGGGCGAGCGGAATCTCGTCACGATCGGCTGTTGATATCGGCACTTGGAGTCTGAACGACGACGACGACGACGACGACGACGACGACGACGATAAGGCGTGTGTGTCGCGTGTCTCGCGTCTCTGCGTTACTACGTTAATAACGGCAGAGAAATTCCAGATATTTCGCATCTCGATCTCGTTGCTTTCTCTTCTTCCGTTTGTTCCTTTTTTAGACGCAAGTTTGTCGTCGCGCGATCCCAGGAGATACCCGGCGAATTTCGGATTCCGCGCGCACATTCGTACATTCGTACGGGAGAACGCGAAGGAAGATGTATCCAGACCGTAGAATTTCATTCTCTCGGGAGGAAACACCCGCCGAGGAGAGACCTTTCGCGCCGTTCTCGCCGCCGTCGCCGCCGCCGCCCCTCTCTCTCCGCCGTTACTTTCGTGAAGGAATCCCGTCGATCTCGCACCGTTACCGCGGATACTTAGGAGCGACCGCGCGAGTCCGATCTCACGATAAAACCGCCGCGTCCAATCGCCGCGGCTCGTTCTACGTTCACTCCGTCTAATCGATCTAATCGATCGTAAAAACGTCAATCCCCGCGCCGATTTTTTTTGCCGGGGCTTCGATCAAAGGGACCGTGTAATTGCACGTGGAGGAGTATTTTATGATTGTCATCGCGACCGATTCAATCATCTCCCTCTAATGCATACGTTTCTCCCTCTTGTTCCAGGTGAGTCGAGCTAGAACCTCGTACGAAGATGCGTGTTACCCCCGCAACGCACAGGTAATGAACAGTCATTATTGATTTATTTACCGAGGTCCGAGCATGCAATAGAATTTCGCGGCCGCGCCGCGCCGCGCGCGATGCGTCGGGTCGTTTTAATCGCCTCCACTCTCGCGTGTTCGATGTATCCCTACCTGGATTTCCCGCTGACCTCCTCCATCTCCTCTGTCCCTTCTTCCTCCTCCTCCTCCTCCTCCTTCCCCCGCTACTTCACCTTTTCCGTCACGTCCACGAACTCGCGCGTGTTTGCGTCCGTCGGATTTTTCCCTCGCCGTATGGTAGCAGTGAAGTCATTTAGGAGGGTCGATCGAGAGCGCGGCAAAATTGAAAATTGCCATAATGCAGCGGCAGTTATGGTAATGCCCCGTAATATCGGCGTGCACGGTCATAGGGCATGATTTGAGCGAGGGGCAAAGAGACGAGAAGAAGGAGGAGGGAGGGATTTTTATGCTGAATTTTACCACCTATCCCGCGTAAGTCTCGCGCACGGAGTATCCGACAGGTACTCAATTATCCAGAAGGGCGTAGCATAGTAATTCGCCCGCTCCATAACCTCCTCCCTCCATCTCCGCTCCTCCTCCGCAACCTGCTCTCCCGCGGCTTCATGATCGATCGCCGTAATCACTATCAGTCGCACAATCATTCGCCGAGATTCGGGCCCGATTTATCCTTCCGCGGTGTAATTTTGAGATTAAAATAATTTTACGAATTATCGCCGTCACATTCCTCCCTCCCTCCCTCCCGTTCTCTCTTTGTCGTTTCCGCCCCCCCCTCCCCCGCTCCTCTCGTCGTTCATTCGCGCCACTCTTGTAAAAGTCACTCGTGACGAAACGCGATCTCGAATTTGATTGTAATATCATCGCGCGGGCATGTGAATCCTGTCAGATTGCTGCTTTCAGAGCTATTATATATATTCATTTATTTATTTATTTATTTATGTATTTATAACATACAAATATGTATATACACCAAAACGTGATATTTCAATATATAAAATTAATGGGACATTACGTAAATAAGATAATTAAAAATTAAAAAAGTTGTCAGTTTCTTAATCAAGTTAACGAGATGCGAGAGAGAGAGAGAGAGAGATTCCGAGTGTCTGATTGATCGCTGACTCGTTCTACTTGCTGAAAAATCAATTTTTGACGGTCTGACTTATCGCCGACACGTTCCACCTGTCGAAAAATTAATTTTCGGCTGGCTAACAAGTCGTCGACTTGGTATTACTCGCTGGAAATTTTCCTTACGCGCATGATGAAAATTGGACGCGGCAGAATTCCGCTACGTAAAACATCTTGCGGTACACCGGTCGGGATGCCGAAGGTGTTTGCTCGCGATCGGTCTTATCGAATTACCTTCGAGGAATTACTTGGACTCTTAAACGTACGGGGAAGCACGTGCGCACGTGTCTTGCAAAGCACAAACACGTGTCTCTTGTTTCAGCTACTATTTTCGTACATGTCCGAAGCTGGTCGGCATGAGGGAGAGAGAGTTAGCGAATGTTCCCTCGCCAGTTTCTTAGCGGCGCGAGTACATCAATCACGTTCCCGCGGTGCCGTTATTACCGGGCGGGCCGGAGATAACTTATCACGCCTAATATCATCGATCTAAAGACGCGCCCCGTGCCGCTTTGCATTTCGATTATGTGCCGTGCGCGCGCGCGGGGATCTGCGGGGCAGGAGGGGGGGACTGCGGCAGCAACAACCCTACGGCGGACGTTGATGCATACTGTTGCGTTCGAGATGTGCCGTTGCGCTGGAGAGAAGAAGAGAGAGAGAGAGAAAGAGAGAGAGAGAGAGAGAGAAAAAGGCGGAGAGGAAAGGAATGAGGTCGGCCACGGGCGGTCGCGGTTAATTGAAATCTACGACTTTGAACTTCGGCGTCGGCGCTCGCGATGAGCGCGCAGTAGCTCGCGAAGGTACAAAACGACCGACACTTTCGACCCCTTGGTGCGTGCTAATTGACGCGCGTCTTTGCATCAAAAATACAACTCAGTGCGACACACGAAGACACACGACGACTCGTGCTCGCGTGACTGATTCCTCAGTTTTTCGCCGAATCAGAGCAGCCGCTCTGCATCTTCGCATCGTAATCCAACCAGAGCGCAAAGTAGAACGAACGACCATACAATTATAACGAGTTGCACGAGTTTTCCTCCTCTTCTTCATCGTCCTCCACTTCTCTGTGCTCTCTCCTCTTGTGTTTTTACACGGGAGGTGTATCCTGATGCCCGGAGACGCCGAATGATTCGCCGCGTGACCGTCGGATTCTAGATTACGCGCGTTTTGTCTGGCCGCGCGCGCGCGGTGATTTATAGAGGAAACGGCAGCGCTTCGTCCACGATTTGGCGCATCCGCCAGTCATCCAGATTTCCGCGGGACTTCCGCCCCGCGTTCTCGCTGTTCTCCGTTACCGTTCGGCTTCCTAAGATCCCGGCGTTGGCGCCTGATGTCATTAACTATCGGCCGTTGATTTCATCAACGTCGGCCGACTCGCGTCGTATTACTCGAGCGATTCGCCGTACCGTTTTTACACCACGACGTTACGACCGAGAGGATCTATCGCCGGCTACGATTTTTCCCTCGCGATTAATTTCGTGGCCGAGCCGGATCGAGCAGAGGGAGGACACGCGCGCAACGATGCTCCGTGTCGATTCTCGTCGTGGCAAAATCGGTCGATCCGATCGATCGATCGGCTCGCGTTCCGGGAAGCCGAGAGCCGAGAGCGATTACGATTACTTCACAGTCGTCCGTCCACAAAATGTCACGACGAGTTTCTTAAGAGCCGAGAGTACCCGCGTTGGCCAATATCGCGCGCGCTCGTACATGTACGCGCGTTCGAGGTGTAGATGCAACAACATGGTGGAGCGTCATCATTCAGCGTTTATGTCGCGGCTGAATCGCGCTTGCGTCGGGTGATTGGGCTTTTCAAGCACGTACTAACTTAGCATCACACGCGCGGCTCGTCGAGCATTTTTCGAGCACCGGCTACCCGGTGCGAATCCGGCGGGAACGGAACATTGTACGCGCGTGATTTACGGGCGGATTCGCGAGGAAAGTGAAAGTACTTTCCTCTTTCTCTCTTCCTCCCCTCCTCCCTTCCCCCCTCCCCCTCTCTCTCTCTCTCCCTCTCTGTCTGTCTGTCTGTCTGTCGGTCTCTCTGCCTGTTCCTCAGTTCTTGAAGAAGCGCGTCGGTATTTTTATCCGCGAGTAATTCGATATTAGAATCGGCAGGTGCGGGAAATTTCGAAATCCTCCGTTCTTTTTTGCGCAACGAGACGAGGAGGTGGGAAAAGGAGCCGGATCGTCGGCTGCGAGCCGACAATTTCGCATTCAGATCGCGACGCGTCGAGTGGAGGATTAATTCGCATTACGTGGGATGCACGCACGAGAAAAAATAAACCCGCCGCGCGTTAAAAGCCATCACGTACAGCAGGGTATGGTTAAGACGCATTCGCTACGCAGCCTCTCCGGCGCGCGCCGCTGCGGAGGATCATCCTCTCTCTCTCTCTCTCTCTCTCTCTCTCTCTCTCTCTCTCTCTCTCTCTCTCTCTCTCTCTCTGTCTCTCTCTGTCTCTCTTTCGATCCTCCTCCACGTGCGCGTGGAATTACCTAGCTTTAGCGAAAATCAATTTATTGACCGTGTCCAGTTCTTCCACGCGAGCCCACTTACGTAAGAGTCCGCCTGCGTTCGATTAACGGATGATGATAGCACTCGAATTTCTTCTCGACGAGGATGCAACCTCCCGCGGGATGATGCGATCGGCCGCGACGAATCCGTGAGTCTCCGCGAATCACGGCGGACGCGACTGTCGAGAGTCTCCGCGCGACGATGAGAGAACGCTTGGTTTAGCGATCTCGTCAAAGTCGTCTCGATTTTCCCCGGAGCGTCTCTCTCTCTCTCTCTCTCTCTCTCTCTCTCTCTCTCTCTTTCTTTCTTTCTGCCTTTTTGCTTCCGAGTCGGAATCAGCCTCGCTCCCGATAGAACGTTCTACGCGCGAGATCGATACGTACGTTATCCGAAGCCGACTATATACCGTATACCGCGCTTGTGTGTGTATATATATGTCGCGTACGTGTGTGGGTGCATCGGCGCGTAGAACACACAGGACGTCGGCGGTGTCGATCTCCCAACAATCGTACTCGAGTCGCACACGGTGCCGATATTACTCCGTATACGGAATACACTTTATCGCGCACACATACATGCGCGTTTCCGGAGGGAAAGAGAGAGAGAGAGAGAGACAGAGAGAGAGAGAGAGAGAGAGAGAGAGCGGGACAGCGGGGGAGAGAAGGAGGATGTGACGAGGAGGAGGAGACTCAAATGCGAGATAGGCGTTAAGGTATCTCCGTAACGGGTCCGTTCATTGCAACACGACGATGCACGGGATGCACGTAGGTAGACGCGTCCGTTTGCAAGTCGCGGGTGTATGCGCGTGTGCGTGCGTGCGTGTGAAGACGCACCATGCACACGCGCATGCACACAGGCGGACGATGACCGTACGAAAAGTACAAGCTACCCGACGGACGCCGCTTTGCGCCGCGGACGACGACGACGACGACGACGACGACAACGACGACGACGACGACGACGACGACGACGACGACGACGACGACGACGACGACGGACGACGACGACGACGACGACGACGACGACGACGACGCCCACTCTCCAGAAGTTGCCAAGACCTCTGACAATGAGTCGCGTCTGCACAGCGGCTCTCATTCGCGCGGCAAAGGCCGCGGATTCTTGGCAAAAGTCGATGATCAGGGGAGCGGAAGCGACTCGAGCGGTCTGAAACGCCATGTGGAAATGAGGTCGGATGCCGGTCTCCTCGGAGCGCGAGCAAAAACCGACGACGCGCTTCCTATCCACCTACCTACCTACCTACCTACCTACTTACCTACCTATCTATCTATCTACCTATCTACCTACACCAACCTACACCTATCTACCTCCGCGCTCCCGACGCGCTCGATGCGTCTGCTCTTCTGAAC